ACAAAAATCCCCCTCTAGTGTTGGACCAAAATACAACAACAAGTTTTTCACACTTAAAGAGCAGAAAAGGTAATTCCCAACACACCCACAATCCCGCTGAGTTCCAACTCCGGTGCATGATGGAAAGACGTGGGTGAGCAACTCCGGCGCACCGATTTTTGCTCCTTCTGCGCAGCGCCGGTTTGCGTCACGAACCACGTGACCACAGCACGAGCATTTTGTTTGCAAAGCCAGATCAGACGCTGGCCGCCATGTTGCATGGAGAGCGAGAAGTGTTGAGAAACATTTTGAAAGTGGCATAAAATAACATTTTTAAACGGTGACAAATCAAAAATTACACGAAGAAAGTACAATATTTGTTTTTAAAAAGTGTTTCATAAATAAATGTTTCAACGACATGTAACAAGGTGGTAAAACGCTGCTAAGGGCTAAAAGTCCTCGCTAATATTGTGACGCAAACTGGTGTCTGAAGGCAGAGGTGGATTCAAACGATCATTTTTTGTAGAGCATTATTGATTTTTGAATAATAAATATATAATATTATATTGTATATTATTTTTATAGTGCATATATGATACTATCCAATATCATTTTTAAATAATTACATAATTCTAACATAAATATACATTTAAATAAATTCTGACAAATAAATGAAGGCCCATCCCCTTCTGGTTCCGCCACTGCCTGAAGTCTGATTCGATGCGCAACAGCTCACCCACGCCGTTTCCACCACGCTCCCCTGCAATGAACCGGGGCCCGCGGGGCCGTGGGCGGGGGCGTGGGCGGAGTACCTGCGTGGAGCGGCTGCTGCGCGCCGGCGTGTCGCCATGCGAGCTGGGCAGGGTGCCCGAGCTAGAGTCCCCGAGGCTGAACGTCGCTGGGTTGCCGCGTCCGCCCGCGCTTTCGCTGGCGCTGACGCCGCTGCTCGCGTTCATCGACATGTCGCTCTGGCGGAAACGTTGGGGGGTTGGCTCATTGCCTACTGTTTCAGGGCGCGTCAACTGCTAAGGTCATTAGCCCCGTAAACGTGGAATATTTCAATGGTGGGAGGTGGCGCGGATCTTCCCTTCTGGTTGGCAAGATCCGGCACCGATCTACACGTACGCTTGTAGGGTATTCCCAACGAGGTATCTACCACTAGCGGGGCTCTGCCACAGCTGGGTAAAGCTCCAAGCTCTCGACTTGTCTCCCGGCATGTGTGTGTGTGTGGACAAAGGAGCGGAAGGAAAGATCGCGCGCGGTTCGTTTGTTAACGTACTTTGGCATTCGCCTGGTGCTGATCGGAAAACTACCGATCAGAGCAGCCGGCCACTAGAACTCTACTCCAGACAGCCACTGAATTCGACCTAGCTATGTAGATAGTGTCGAAAATCCCGCCACCGTCAGGACTCGAACTGTATGACCTTCCAGTCGGAGTCAGTGGCATCAGTTGATGGATGTTACGACTGCAACGTCCGTTAGTCTAGATTGGGTTATCCCCTTAAGTGGCGGTTTTTCTCCCATGCTGGATGGTGAGATTCGGCGCCGATCAAGACTTTGGTTTGCCCCCCCTCTCCCCCCTAGGTATTAATCGCGCAACCCCCCCCCCCCACAGGTATTAATCGCGCAACGTTTCTTGAACCTTGCTTCCCCCTCTCCGGTACAATAAACATTTGAAGGCAAAAAATCGCAGCGAGCCCTGATGACAACATTCCAAACACATCTTCACTGTTGCGAAACAGAAACGATTTTCTGTTGATGACGAGAACTTCTGTCCAGCATTTTCTCCAAAAAATGACCGGAGCAGGTGAAGATTCATCACCGGACATACTTCGAACTGCTAAGAAAGTTAGAACGCAAGTAAGTGAGGAAGTTGCGAAAGGCATGAGTGAGATCTCCAGAGATTGGCTTTGCTTCATAAAATCTAGTGGCCAATTTCGTAACTAATACCCCCACTCTACCCACATTTCAATTCATCGTTCAAGAATAGTTGCGCGAGTAATATCTACCTCAGCGAGACACATCGTAATAAAAACAAGCTGTAAGCAGCTGACTGGCGTTCCGACAAATGCGGTAGTACAGTGCGTGTATGTATGTGGACGGGGAGAGGATCGAACAAGAAAGAGGAAGGAAATATTGCACTTTTTTAGCTGCTCTTTGAGCAAAGACGCGAACGGATATCGGGACTTTTTTTAGCGTAATCACTCTTGGCATCCTCCGAATTATGGGTAGGGTGCCTCTTCAGCTAGGAACTACCAGCTCTGAGGTAAAAGGCAATAAGACGACAAAAATAATCACTACGGGATTCGTCTCTAATCAATTTTCTCGTGGGTAAAAAGTCACTGCCACGGTGGAGCCGGAACCCAACAGGCAGCTTTGTGGACAAATTCGGCGGGCCTGGTGTATTCGCTCGTATCCCCGTTATGTTCCCATTTGTACTAACGAGGTTACCGCCAAAAACGTGATAAAGAACATGGCGACTGTTTCCAATTCTCCGCCATAGGCAGACCTATGTCCTTTATCTCTTCGTCAATGCGTCCACTGTTCTGTAGAAAGCTCAGTGGACGCATTATTATGCATGAAAGAGTTGTTAAAAGTGAAATAGTTGTATAGTTGATTTGCACCTTTTCCCAATACTGTATTCAGATAGGACATTTTCGTTTTTATTTTAGAACGTACATTACATTTCCATCTTCTCTGTGTGACACGTTTTACAATGAATCACCGGAATATTCATTTCAGAGTGAATAGGATTTGCGATATAATTCTATGAAATGAATACAGAATGTATGAACAAAAAACTGTACTGAAGCAAAATTCCAATTATGTGAATAAATAACGTTGTCCATTTACTACTTTTACTCATATTTGGGAACATTTAGCCTTCGTATGATATCAGAAGAAAATGAGATGCTAGCACATTAACAAGAGACGAAAGTGACCACATACGTACCAAATGAATTTCAATAATGTCATTTTCGCGACTGAAACATACCTGGTACGAAACAATCTTTACCATGGGGACAATCACCATTCAAAATATTCCATTTACTCCATTTGTTCTGGCAAATAAAAGTTGTTTTTGAATGTAGCAGCCCCTCGTTACCCAAACATTCGACATAATGCGATGTTCTTGGAATTTTTAATTTTCTCAAACTTACTACAGCATTAGTACCAACGACGATACATTTTCCTCTTGCAAGCAAATTCTATCTACGTCTAATATTTAAACTAATAAGACTACAAATAGCAAATGTTGCCAAAAGTGCGAAAACAAAAATACAATAAATATGCACAATTTACATTAGTGCCTAACATTACCACGGGATTTTGTAAGAAAAAACTCCACGCGAACACAAATTGTGTTAGTTCAATGCTTCTGGGAATTGGAGCACTTAAAGACAAGTTAAACATAATTGATAGAAAATACCTACATATAATTATAAGATAGGATCCAATCTAGCCTCATATTTTAATTTGTCTTTAAAAATCATTACTTTCTTCACAACCAGCATTATGCGATCTACTGTTTAATGGTTGATACATTAAAAAAGCTCAGGTACCTAATGAAAAATTATAATAAAAATCTACATAGCACGACGTATACATACATGTTTTGTAATTAACGAAGGCCCCGTTTAAGCGTAAAGTAATAAAAATAAACTTACGCTTGAAACAAGTCTATGGTACCTTTCCTGGTGATAATATATCAAATAAAATCTGCCAACTGTTTTCTAAACAAATCTTTATTTTGACATCTTTCGTAGTTTTGAACTATTCAGAGCATATGAGAATTCGAATCCAACACCGTGACCTGTAAAACTCAGAATTCATTAGATTCTTACTCGCAAGTGTACGCTGTGCGCTTACGTCTGGAAAGGAAGCGACATTCTCGACACTGATTCTACGAATAAATATCGAAAAACTAGTGTACTTCAACGAACGTACGTTTCACTGCTCGTATTTTGGGTCTAAATGATCCGAATAAACTTCCAATCTTCAGAATTACGAAACATACCTCATATTCCTGGGGCACATGAGTTTCCTTTCTGCGACGCACAGTTGCATGCATCAAATCACCTTCCATGATTACCTACGGGTCTTCCTCTCCAAGTTAAGCAATACGTTGGAAATATTATGATGCTAGTTCTTAGAGAATGATCAACACCGGTCAATCTTCTCGGTTGTGGTTTGTAGAAAACACCGCACCTTCGCCGCAGAAAAATCACGCTATCGAACTGTTCCGCAGCGGACGAGTATGAAGCTCGTCTCGACGACAGCCTCGTGAACGCACGTGTGCGAACGTTCATCTTTCTTGGTCGCTGTTGGTGACAGCAATGCTCGAGTCAGGGCTGCCGACAACAAACGCAGCGAGTGCGTGACTTGTCCGTAAACAACTGAATTGCTCCTGTGTTATGTCGGCGGTATTTTTCGTTGTAAATGTTGGTTCTACGACTGTAGTAAGAAATAAAGCCCGGTTCATCAGTACCTGGCTACACACTTGGTAAAATAAAATGTTTTCCATCGAAAGCACGATGTGAATAAAACTTTTGTAAAATTCAGATGTATGATCATAACAAAGTGTAAATATTGAAAACAGGTTGGACAGGATGTGTGTTGGTTCAGTGACTTCGAGTTGTTTGCTTGAAAAATCTTATCACCAGACTGAACTGTCAGTCTATGCCTATTGTAATATTACTGCCCTATTATTTTGCATGACTTCACCAAAAGTCTTACTCTAACCGAACTAAATACCCAATTTGGATTTATATATCATACAAAACCTCGGATGTGGCAACTAATAAATAAAACCGCTGAACCCTATTTCTTAGTAACTTGACAAAGAGCACATTCCCTTGAAGCAATGGTGATACAGAAAATCGTGAACAAAATGTACTAATTATAACTCAACAATTAGATATAGAACATACAGACAAAAATTAAAAATATCAATGAGCTAAAACTAAAGGGGTCAAAACATTTGTTTTGGAACTCTTATTAATGAATTATTAATTAAGGCCTTAAGAACTATTATTCAATTTTAAATAAATACGTATACAGATTAATTTTAAAATATGTACATACATTACATTTGCTACTAATATCACACACAATTTTTTGAAACAAATTAATGCAAATGAGAATACAAAAATCAATCTACAAACTTTTATTTTCAACAATCAAGAACAAAAATATTTCTATCAATAACAAAAATCAAGTACAATGGCACATCCCTGATTTTTCTACAAAAAATACTGGGATATCAAATTAAAACAATTTGAATCCACAATGGTACATAAATATATCACATTTTCTTGTAATTTTTGGCAATTGAAAATGAAGAAATGCAAACAACATTTGAAAACTGAAAGTATTTAAAATGTAAATATTCATTTTTTAATCATGTTTTGTCATGATAATCTCATTACTGTACAATATGCTTCAGAGTTCAGACTCGAGTGATTAAACAGACTACCCTTAGGAACAAATAATGTCATGAATTAATGGCATACCATACTATGTAGTGGAATAATACATTGGTGGTATAACTTAATGATCTACTTTTACATATTTAACCCTTAACACAGAATATAATTTTTAAACAGCAAGTTTGTTTTTCTTTTTGTGGTTGTCTGTACCTCGACAATGATATCAATGATTTTTTCCTCATTGTGGTAGGATGCCATGTGAAGAAGGGCCACTACAGAGACTGACTGAGCTCTACTACCATTGAAGTGCACGAGATCTCTTTCTTTTCATGCATGATGAAATGCCGGTGCACCCAAACTGGGTTCCATGTTGAAGGGTTAAATAGAAAACAAAAATTGACAGCCACAAAAAAACTTGGGCTGAATCAAACTTGTGTAAGAAGACAGTTCATGACAACAGCAATAAAAAATATTACAATAAAATTACGGGTAGTATTTCAAACAATCTGAATATTTTCACAATTAACAAAGCTTGTTTCTTCCAATGATTTTGAATAAACCTCAACCAATCAATTATTAAATTATAAATATACCTATTTAAAACACTGATTTAATGAAAGAAAGAAGATAATAAATAAATATTTCAGGCACTTATCCACAAACATGGAACAGTTGGTTTGATTAGCAGAGATAATCAAGTTCAAAACCCCTTTATTGTTTTTTGAGAGGTTACTATCAATACAATAACAGTTCAATTTATCAAAGCATAAAACAAATAGTAGCTCATTTTCACCACGCTAAACCAACTGCTTTAATGTTCTGTAGAAGTTTGTATTTTGCAATGTGTATACTAATGTATAATTACAGAAGTTAAGGCTCACTCCTAATTATGAAGATTAAGTAAAAAAAGCCTAAAAGGAAATTTATTAACTTTTTATACAATTACGACTGTTGACGAGAAAAGTCTAATTTTCAATCAGCTCTTTCTAAAGTTAACTTCCTTCACTTTTCAATATCACAAGAAAGTGAAGAGATTTGCAATGAAATATAAAAGAGGATTTATAATGCAAATAAAAATTCTTATAGAAAAACACAAAATATACAGAATATGTCTTAAAGGAATTTTCTTCTCATAAAATTCTTTTCTCTTCTCTCAATACTCAGAACAAATGCTCTGTCCCATGTTGTTACACAGTACATCTTTCAACAATTTTATAAAACAATAAAATGTTAACATGGAATGTTGACAAACTCCTCTAACAGTACAAATTAAAAGTTCAAACAACGTAACAAAAAAGCACTTTTCACTATTTTACTCAACTATTATTCAATATATAGAAAAGCAAAATCACACATTTCAAAAGAATCACAAAGCAATTAATACTTCAATAACATACATAATTAAGTACAGAATTCCTCTTGCCAACATGTATAAAAATACCAACACTTGCACCACACAATGAATCTGCAATACACAAGGAAAAAACTTGTGTTAATATGGAGGAATATTAATTAATAAAATAATAATAATAATAATAATAATAATAATTATCATTATTATTATTACTACTACTACTACTATTGCTATTATTATTATAATATATCTATATTATAACTCTTATTAGTTTACACATATAACAAAAGCATTAATGTTAACTGACTATTCTTCAATCGTATTACACAATCTCAAATATATATCTGCACTGGATCAGTTTTCAATGAGCATACTTTCACTATTTTTGACTGCACTTGAAAGACAAATCATATCTTGCCATTACTTACTGTGCCTCCAAATTCAGTTTAAGATCTCTTCAGTTATTATCTTCCAGTCAAGCGTTTCGCAATTACTAGTAGAACAAATCCACTGAAGACAAACCAACAACCAGGAATTGAAGACAACAGGGTTTTGTAATAATCTGCAATAAAAATATGAAATCAGTTATTTTGAATATTGAGGAAATTTCACTCCGAGATTTATAGAAATTGTTAAGTATTGTATTACACAATTTATTCCAAAATCAATAACTTTTCTCACAGTAAAAATTAACAACACTGATGAGATAAATCTGGTTTTTAATCGTCCTTTTTAAAGTTAATGACCTTCACAAAGTTTAGTAGTACCTTTGTAAGATTCTTTAAGAATTAATTTTTTATGGAAAAATTTTAGTGTTGGCACAAAAAGAAAGCAAATTCCCAAGTTCACCTATTACTTCATTTTTCACAATTTCATTAATGTCGCTGCATAAAATCTACATGGTAACATTAAGAATTCAATGCACTATGACACTAGAGCATTTACATGCAAATTTAACATAATAATCTGCTTCCATAAACCCGGCTCTTCACAAAATGCTTTCCATTTTGAAATATAATATGAACATTAAAGAATAATATGATTTTTTGACAACAATAACTATATGTGTAATTTTTAAATTTTTTTTCTCTTTCTCCCTTGAAGAAATGCTTAATGATTATCTCCTGGTGGAGATGCTGTTTTGGTCCATGCTTAGAGAATGGTTTTCATGCACCTGTGAAGTTCAATGCACTATGGCAATGGCAAGTTCAAGGCAATCTCAAGTGTATGTTGGAAACCCTCAAAAAGGCACACAATTCCCATATTAAAGAATGCAACACAGTGATCCACTTCCTTTTTTCTGTCTCTTATTACTCCTGCCCTGTTTCTGAAGTGACAAATACGTTTTTAGAACTAGATTTTTAGATGTCACTAAATTAATAGATTCCACTTGTTTTGCAATCACATAGAAAAGTAGGACTACCAAGTTGAAATTCTTTCAACATTAAATTTCTATTTTAGTTGCTTGAGAAGTTTTAGATACAGTGGTTTTGTCAAATAAAATTGTTCTCAGCACCTTAAGACTTGACTTAAGATTTAATTGTACAATATGTACTATTATAGTGGAACCCTGTTACAAGAAAACCCACTTACAAGAGACAATACGGGTCATGAAGTTCTTAAGTATAAATTAAGTTTTTTTCTTCTTCCTGCATGTAAAATACCTGCTTACTGCCTATTAATATTCTACCTACAGACAGAGTATTTTTGTTCTAGAGGAATTTTTCCCCATGAGTAAGGTAATTTGAAATTACAAATATTCTCTTGTGGCAAGCACAGCGACTGGGTTTACTCCTGAGCACACTTCATGCAGGCTCCATGAGAAGAGATTTCTGTCTGAAGAAATACAGAAATAACCCAAAACATCTGACAAAAGTTAAAATCATCTCCCAATTTTCTTGTGTACCATTTTGAGAAGGACACGCAGGCATATGCTCTTTACTCGAATGTCATTCTTGCTAATGAACTGACAGCGTTTAGGAGAGCGGTAACAATAAGAGCTGTGCAGTATTTGACAAGGTGTAAAGTTCATTGTCACTGAATATTTTGTATTGAGCTTTCAGACTCATGAAAAAATTGGTGTTGTTTGTCTGGTGAGTAGTGCTCTGGCAGCATGGCATGTAAAGTCTCAATACACAGATTTTTCTTCTTTTCTTTTTTTTAAAATTCTAATTGTAAAGTTTTGGAAAGAAAGTTTTACATCGCACATCAAGTTATGAACAAAAATGTAGGTAACCTTACGAAAAGATATAATAGGATATTAATAACATTTCTCACTGACAAGAGGAAGAAATCTACACTCCTAGATGTCTCTTATAATGGGGTTCAATTGTATCTGTAACACAAGGTGTTAAAAAAATACTACAAAAAATATTTCTGATTCAGCGTCCTTTGATCAAAATTACTTCACATATTGATAATTTCAATAATTAATTACTCAATTATGGTGCTGAAATGATGTATACATTGATTCTAATACATCAAATAACAATTCTAACACAAATGTTCATATAATTCAATGTAATATATAGAATGTCTTTTGTGTAAGACAGATAATCTTTACAAACATAGAAATTAGGAACAAATATTACATATTTACATTAACAGGCTAAATGCTGGAACTTGTCCAATGAAGAACAGACCAGCATTTCATGCACTCTTTACTAACAAGCAAGCATAGCTCCCTTTGCAAGGGCAGCAAACATTATTATGCATGAAGAAAGATGGTAGAAAAGGAACATTCTCACATCACCAATCGTTCAATTACGTAGGTTTCTATTACAAAATTCTTCACTGTAGAATAATTTACCATGAATACTTAATATACTAATATATTAAAAATCTGCTATTAACGCTTTATATGAAAATCAAATCATGAACTAAATCATTTTTATTAAAATATTTTCAATTCCCTCAAAATATCATTATTCACGGAGTATACATAATCACCTATGTTTTGTTACTTTCTTCGTCCCAGCTATATCAATATCACATATATGAAAACATATTCATTCAAATCCCATATTATATAGGTCTAAGATAAAAATAAATGCCACACAACTTTAACAAAAACATATAATAGCAATTTTCACACTGGCATATATTTGAGCAATATTTAATACATTTTTCTGCCTATAAGAATCATTTCTTTAAAATATTAACATTCTTATGGCACTCTTTGTTATTCTGTTCTTGACTGACAAGGATGATAATACTTCTTACTTTATGACCAACCCAACATAGCTACGAGTTAGTACTAGATAGGTGCCTTTTTGCATTACAGCATGACTGTCTGAGAAAGGTCAGAGATTGGATTAAATAAAAAAGGAATAGGCAGATCAAATAGTTTGTCTGAGAAACCTCATGACAATTCAAATGAAAAGAAACGCACATAGTTGAAGGAAGTTTCCCAAGGTTTATTTAATGACAATCAAATTACAGAAATGTGAGCTTCTTTAATTATTAATGCACAATCAATAAAATACAAAAACAATAATGACATTTCCTAGACAGATGCAGCTACATTATTAGGTTTACTAATGTCTTTGTAAATTCATATTTGCAAGTACGAAGCAAAAGAAACAAAGTTTACGTTTGGTTATTCATATTTAAAAACACAAATAAATAATTAATCTACTATTTAAAATGCAAGTAATAGCTACACATACGTTACATTCTGAACATATCTTTGATTTTAAAAATCTCCAAATACTGGATAGAGAAAACAGATTCATCCCCAGAATTATCTTGGAAACATTGTCCTTTGATACTTTTGACTCAAATAACAAACTCTATATGTTCACTGCCAACTATGGAAATATTTTGTTCAAGTCAAAAAATGAAGTCATTTAATTCATTATATTTATTATTTGTTTTACAGCAAGTTACTTATTTCCTTTTCATCACCTACTTATCTTTCTCCTCTCTGTTTCTTTTTCTCGATACCCCTTTCTCGCTCCTTCAACACCCCTCTCTCTCCTCCCTTTTCGCTTGCATAGTCTAGATGTACTTCACTTGGCTCACCATATGTTCTTCTTCCCTCAGTTAATTTTTGGCGTCTTCACAAAAGAATCTTTATAGATAAGGGACAACAAAGCTTAAATTTTCAGATGAATATCCACCATTTCATATGAACATACAAATATTTTATTTCATTGTGTTTAAAATATTGGAATATTTTTTTCTTTGTTTTTTTATTATGAGCTTTTGTTTTTCTTGTGCAACTTTTCACAAGTTCCTTGTTGTGGTTATCACATAAGTTGATTTTATTTTGTTGTTTAATTAGACATTGTAAACCTGATGGTTGGACTGCATCTGGTCAGGGAAATTGGTTATTTTTGAGATTTGTCAACTATTTAATGAAAATTAAAGATGCTTATATTTTCGTAATTTAATTATTTTAAATAAACCATAGAAACCTTCAACGATGAACTAATATACACAATCAGTAGGCTACCCTTCACAGTTAATATTTTTAAGAAAATATACTCCGTGCAAAGAATGTCATGCATATGATTTTGTTTTATATACAGGCATTTCGAGATCTTACTCTCTCACAGGTTTTATATACATTATTATGTACATTACAAATCCAATCTCCAATTACTTACACAGATCATGTTTATTCAATAATTTTCTGCAGATCTAAACATATCACTAATAAACCATATTGTTCTTTTTTTAACAAAGTCAAGATTCAATAGTTTCATGACTTAACGAAGTTCATTCACACTGCAAATTCAAGCACTAGTTAAAAGTAATATCATGCGCAATAACATCCAGCTATGTTTACTAATGTTGCCGAATGTACACCATTAGCAGCGGACTGTGTCCAGGTCATCACTAGGAAAGCACAGTGCACAGGCAGTCGGTTGTTGCTAGAAAACCACTTACCGCGGTTGCCTGGAGTTAAAAACGCAGGCAAACCTCCTGCCGAGAAACTAATGAATCGGTCTTCCTCAGCAGGACAAGAGAATAGAGAAATCCAGGTTACTAATAATGTTGGAGCTCTCTATTTTAAATATAGGCAGGCAGAAACATCCTTTAACAATCATATTCCTACAGTACCATGACCTTTAAAATAATACAATGCCATTACCTAGAGTAAGTTGTACTAACTTCAACTTAAGTTATTTATCTCTTTCAAATAAATCAAAAAGAAAGTTACCAATGTGACTTTACAAATTTAAGGGCTCTTAACAATTACTTTTACTACAATCAGAAACAATAAGAACGTAATTGCTTGGGGTACATATAATGATATTCACAGAGGTAGCATTTTATGCCAAGATATATTTTTCTCTGAATGGTTTGAAAAAAAATCTGTAATCACCCATTCTCATTCTATGGCATGGGTTTAAAGACCGGTTCAACACAACCTTAAACATGCACCATTACTTTGGAATTAATTTAGCAATGGATCCCCCCCCTCTCTTTTTTTTTTTTTTTTTACTTACTTCTTATGAGGAGTGACATATTTACATTACTTTTTAGTTAGTTTGGTTATTGCTGTCAAAGTTGTACTCATCAGGAACTTTGGTGTCCTTGACCTTTTTTACCTTG